ATGGACATCTGTGTGTCTGGGAGAGTGACGCCCCGCCAGTAAGGCTGTACCGACTGATCAGCAGGTATCGATCCTGACATGCCGCCGGTGACTGTGAATGGACATCTGTGTGTCTGGGGAGAGTGACGTGCCCCGCCAGTAAGGCTGTACCGACTGATCAGCAGGGGATCGATCCTGACATGCCGCCGGTGACTGTGAATGGACATCTGTGTGTCTGGGGAGAGTGACGTGCCCCGCCAGTAAGGCTGTACCGACTGATCAGCAGGGATCGATCCTGACAGGGCGCCTGTGATTGTGAATGAACATCTGTGTATTGTGTCTGGGGAGGTGACGTGCCCCGCCAGTAAGGGTGTACCGACTGATCAGCAGGGATCAGAGTGATATGCCGCCGAAGTGCGTAGAAATTTACATGCAGGGGAGGACCCTAACCTACCACGAAAAACTGAAATGTCTGGGCATCCCACATGTGGCGATAACAACATCATCACGTACACAAAGTTGATTTGTGCTTTCTATGAATTTGTTTAATGATCCCACATGTGGCGATAACAACATCATCTGTGATTTGTACACAAAGTTGATTTGTGCTTTCTATGAATTTGTTTAATGATCCCATCTTCCATGTATATAACTTAATGATATGAATTGTTGTGTGTTTCTTTAAAAGACATTTGTAGTGTTGTGATAATTGAGCGTTGATGTGAGTGTATGTGAGTATATATGAGTATATGTGAATGGTGAGGCATGATGTGCATGTTTGGGCGTGTAGGGAGAAGAGTGTGAGTTTGTTTGGTGATGGGAGAATAAAGTTGCAAATGCAAGCCTATATGAACTATTGTAAACAAGGTAGATTTAGTTAATAAATCATATCAATGTTTTAAATTTGGGGTTTGTGGTTACTCTAGTAGTATGTGACAGTTTGACCCTGTGATGTTAGGTTTGAATACCGGTTGGAAATAGGGACCAAGCTGTCTTAAGCCACTGCACAGTCTGTGGAGAGTTTGACCCTATGATGTTAGGTTTGAATACCGGTTGGAAATAGGGACCAAGCTGTCTTACGCTCCTGCAGTCTGTGGAGAGTTTGACCCTGTGATGTTAGGTTTGAATACCGGTTGGAAATAGGGACCAAGCTGTCTTAAGCCACTGCACAGTTTGGGGAGAGTATGACCCTATGATGTTAGGTTTGAATACCCGTTGGATCTTAAGCCACTTCGATCTGTGGAGAGTTTGACCGTGTATTCTTGGGTTTAGCATTGAGGATGTTTCCTTGTTTGTCAGCACCATCCTCTGAAAAAAATATTCTGAACCAGTGAGTCGCTCAGAGACCATGCTCGTGTCTTAGGCTATAACCAAAACAGGAAACATCTTTTCCCGCATACTCTTTGTCTCTACACCATCACAAAGCCGTGACAATATTAAATGCTGACTCAATCAGAAAATATATTATTACTGAATTAATTCACGAGGTTGTTAAAACAACAAACAAAAGGCTACAGTGCAAACTTTGTGAGTGACCAACAACACTGCAAGTAATCGAGTGATCATGCGTTATGTTAGCTTGTAGCTGTTGTTGTTGTGTCTGGTTTTACTTCTCCACTAATATCATAACACGTTGAGCTTCTGTGTTAAAGCAAAATGCAGCCAAAGTTGTGTTGTTTTTCACTCGATGCAAAATACACGAGCATGCAAATTACTAGTATTATGTATAGATCGTGTAAGTAGGTCACGGCATTTCGCGAGACCTTAGTACTTCCGGTGACAAACAACGTTTCATACCTTTTCGATGGTCTCATAGTTGTCAGTTGACACTAAGGAACCGATAATCGTTGAAGGAATAGCAATTTTCCGATCTAACCATCCCCAAATAAGCCAACTATTACGACTGTCAACAGCTGTGACAGCCAAGCATGGTTGTACACTTGGTCCGGTCTAGTAAAGTCGTTTTGGGGTTCGAGCAATTTTAAAAGCAGAACTGGTTCTTGAATATAGGCTTGTCACCGGAAATCTGGTACCGGAAGTAAGATGGGCACGGTCTCGCATATCGCGAGTTGGCACGCTCAGAGGGATCCGGTAACCAGCTTAATACCGGAAGTAGCGGTTCGTGAGAGTTACAGTCCCTATTCCTCAAAGGCCAAACGAATGACAGATCCCGATCTGTATTCCAGTGTGTCAACGTCAACGTTTTTTCTTATATGAAAAAGAGATTCAAGATCCAGTTTAGAATTGTTTTTCAGTAACTCATGGCGTCAGACAACTTTTGAGACAAAGGCGGTGCTATCAGTATGCTAAGGTGTGCCTACCCTGTGTTACCCGTGAAGATCCGGGTTAGAATTGGTCTTCAGTAACCCATACTTGTTGTAAGAGGCAACTAACGGGATCGGGTCGTCAGGTTCGCCGACTCGGTTGACACGCATCGCACCCCATTTGAGTAGATCGATGCTCATGCTGTAGATCACTAGATTGTCTGTTTCAGACCTATTTACAGATCGAAGCCTTGTAGCTGCAATATCGCTGAGTGCTACGTTAAACAACAAAGAAAGAAAGAAAGAAAGAAAGAACGAAAGGAAACATGAAAAGAACACACCTGAGTTCTATTATAATGATTCTTTGTATGATAACAATAGATACAATAACTGAAAAGCTGAATGCCGAATAATCTATATCATTGTCATGACGATACAATAAACACATTTAGCTGGGGTCATCAAACCATCCTCTACCTGTAGGACGGGACGGGTGATTTGAGGCTGCAAGCATCACAGAAAAAGGATCCATGGACTGAGGTAAGGTTACCGATGCTTGAAAATAAGCATGGCGCTGAAACGGTTACCTTTTGGAAAACGGGTTTCTTCTCAATCCAGTTTACTTTCTTTGTCCATTACATTTTCTCAGTGACCTGTGAAAATGCAGTTTAGAATTGGTAACCCATGCTTGCTGACTCGGTTGCCAAATGTCATCGGTTCCCAATTGCGTAGATCGCCATGTTCATGCTGTTGATCACTGGACTGTCTGGTCCAGACTTGATTATTTACAGACCACCGCCATATAGCTTGAATATTGTTGAGTATATAAAAATCACTTACTCAGTCTCAGTAACTGATGTAATGTGAAATATCCTAAGCCTAATAATAATGTATGGTGGAAATCCTAAAATGTAGATTCTGATATTGGCAAACTGACAGGAAGGCGATCAGTGCTTATGGGTCGTAATGGCTGGAGGGATGAGATGAGATGTGGCGCTGTTGAGCTCGGGGGTCGAAATCGGAATCTGCACTTTCTTAGCCATCGGAACAAAAGATACATTCCATGGCCAGACATGCACGAAACCTTCGAAGCATGCTTCTGATGAGTCGACCAATGTCATCTTGACTCTTTTCCCCTCATCAGTGAGAACAGCGCCGAGTTCACCGAGAGAGGTGGGAAGATTTTGATGACGCAAATGTCCACAAATGATGTCTCAGGCATGTGCAATAGGTCACAGGTCAGGGCATGCTGTTGGCTATGAGCACGTGCATTAGCATTTTGAAAGATGAACGTGGTCCAACACGTAATCGAAATGACACCTCGAGTGGGCAATAGTGATGTCCCGAAAGTACTGATCTGCCACTTTGCTGTGGACAATATTTACGCAATTCGGCCATTCATTGTGATATCACCCCACACCCAGTACGATGTTCAAGTCCATAAAACAGTCAGTAGGACGTTTCCAGCCGTGATTCCTTCGATCATGGGAATGATCCTCTGTTCATCATGGGAATGATCCTCCGTTCATCGTGGGAATGATCCTCCGTTCATCGTGGGAATGATCCTCTGTTCATCGTGGGAATGATCCTCCGTTCATCGTGGGAATGATCCACCGTTCATCGTGGGAATGATCCTCCGTTCATCGTGGGAATGATCCTCTGTTCATCATGGGAATGATCCTCGGTTGGTACGAAAACATGACATCCAACTGCTGGCACCGCTGATTCCAATTATTCGTCTTGTTTTGGGATGACACATATGCGCGTATATGCCATCTGTGTAGACAATGTCGCCCGGTCTGGGTATGCACTTTACGCTAGTTGCCTAATTAACGTAAACGTTCAGCACGTTATGTCGAGTTCTCAACAAAATTATTTCCTAAATGATTAAATGTGTTCCATATGTGCCTTTGAGCGTTGAATTTAAAAACAACAACAAATGTGTCACTACCGAGCCTGAGTATAAAATGGTAATTCTGGCACCCTGGTACGTACTCACAGATGTCACGTGCTTCGTGAAAGTCAACTATGTCGTGTTTTGGATTTAGATTGTTTTCGGAAATGTTTCTGCTACATAAATCACTTACCTTCGTTAGATATTGGTGTGTAAATCTGTAGTTTTACCTCAGAATAACATTTTGTATATTATATATTTCATGTAATATTAAACACCAACATCAAAGGACAACCTGCCTCGACGATATGCCAATACCGGCAGTGAACGTACGGCAGGATAGCTTTGAAAAATTTATATGTGAAGGGATCACTGAGAGTGTGGGTGAGGACACTAGGTGTTAGTTAGTGAGTGAGTGAGTTTAGTTTTACGCCGCATTCAGCAATATTACAGCTATATGGCGGCGGTCTGTACATTTTCGAATCTGGACCAGACAATCCAATGATCAACAGCATGAGCATCGATCTATGCAAATGGGATACGATGACATGTGCCAACCAAGTCAGCGAGCCTGACCACACGATCCCGTTAGTCGCCTCTTACGACAAGCATGGGTTACTGGAGATCAATTCTAACCCGGATCTTCACGGGTACACCAAGTGTTACATAACAGGGTAGGCACACCTTGGCATACTGATAGCACAAACGTTGTCTGACGCCACAGACCAATACACCTGAATCAATAACGATGCAGTCAGACAGCGATGTACAGACTTGTTCTGTCCATGTATTGATCGCTCTGGCAATAATAAGCTGGATTCCCGAAGGACACAGCTAGAAAGATGAGTTTCAAATATCTTGACAGTTCACGACATACACTGTTACAGAAGACAGAGAGCAGGATGTTCTGGAGTGGAGGTTTACCTTTGCTTCTGCTGTTGGTATACCTGGTTGCAGCCAGCTTTGGTAAGTATGACGGTACTAGCTACCACAGATAACTTTATAGATTATAAATATACATTATGTATATTATTAAACGTATTAAGCATATTACTATTTCAGTTCATGAATCTTTTTCAGATTTGAAAACCGTTTTAATTATCCGTCCAGTTATGTCAAGAATATTTTGGTGTTATCAGTGTCTTAAACAGAATACCTGGTACTGTGCCGGTAAACTTTAATAGGGTGTCATCGTTAGTGGGAAGAAACGTGTGAATTTTCAGATTCATCGCCTCGGTTGTTTCCGGTTAAAGGATCTGAGGTAATTTAATAGCAGGTCTAAAAGCAAAGAGCTTGATCAAAATACTTGATATTGAGAAACTTCTTAATTTCCACCAAACCAACATATGTGTAATGGTCATATATAGAGCATATTCGAACATGTTATGACTAATTTCCTAAATTATATCTTGTACGCAGCTTGGGTGGAAAACAGTAATTTAGATCCAAAATCTATATTTTGGCATCTCTGTTCATGTTAGATACATTTAATATTGTTGGGTAAAATTTCCAATGCTTAACTTTTTTGTAGGTTTAAAGGGGGTGGAAGGAGGTCACCGTTGTCAATATAACACTAACGTGTCTCAATAACGTTTGCGTCAAATGCGGCTATAATATTCATGGAGGCATTACCGTCTCATAATATTGCATCATATACTAAAATAACAACAATAAAACAACAATACCTGTGTTAAAGATGAAAGAGTGCAAACGTCCTTATTTAGGATAGGGCCAAGCAAAAGTTTGGAGACAATCCAGCATTTACATTTTGCCTGATTTGAGGTATGTTAAGTGACATCTATTTGCATACAAGGAATAAATTATTCTGCTGCTATTTGTATGAGCAGTGTTTTGTCGTGTGTGAGTGAGTGAGTGAGTGAATGAGTGAGTTAAAGTTTATAGTCACAGCGGTGAAAGTCACAGTGAAAGTTGGGGATCAGATAGTCTCAATGATGGATATAAAAGGTTGATTGCTGTCTGTCGATTGTTCACTGTATTTGGAATATTGTTGACGAACGCAAAATGCCACGTCTAAGTGAAGCCAACCGTCATATCGCCATTGGTTTGCTTGAAGCTGGCCAGTCTCAACGTGCAGTTGCCTGACGCATGAATGTTCACCAAAACACCATTTCACGGCTCTGGGAGAGATATCGCCGCCAGAATGCGGTAGCAGATGCCCCTCGTAGTGGGCGACCTCGTGCGACCACTGCGGCGCAGGATCGCTACATCCGGGTACATCACCTGCGTCATCGAACAGCTACGGCGACCAGTACCGCTCGACAAATACCCGGATTGAGGAGGCTTTCTGCACAGACCGTCAGGAACAGGTTGAGAGAGGCTGGTTTACGTGCCAGAAGACGTTATTTTGGCCCTGTGCTTCGACAACAACATCGTCGACATCGAGTTCAATGGTGCACCAACGTTTAGGCCTGGAACCACGACTTCTATTGGAACGACGCGATGGAAGAATGCGGGTGTACAAACGTCGACGTGAACGTTTCGCCGACGCTTGCGTTCCCCAGGTGGACAGATTCGGCCGGGAAAGTGTTATGATGTGGGGGGAGATCACCTGTCGTAGGAGAAGTGATTTGGTGATGATCCAGGGCAACCTGACAGCTCAACGGTACTGTGACGAAATCCTACGCCCACACCTCCTTCCAATCATTGATCGCCAGAGGGAGTTGTTTCAACAGGACAATGCCAAGCCCCACACACCACGTCACACTAGAGACTTCCTCCAGAACCACAACATCAATGTGCTCCCCTGGCCCTCAAGATCACCGGACTTAAACCCGATCGAACGTCTGTGGACAGACGGGTGCGACGCCGTAACCCTCAGCCCCAGACACTTCAGCAACTCGCACAGGCACAACAGGCAGAGTGGGCTGCGATTGGGCAACACGAGATTCTGAGACTTATTCGTTGGATACCGAGGCGACGTGCAGTTCTGGATGCCCACGGTGGTCACACGAGGTATTGACTTCAGCGCCACCACACGTCTCAATGTGACACTCAAACTGACCTTCCTCGAGTTGGTGCCAAAAATGGATAAGTCTGCATTCCCAGTGTGCAATTCCGCTATATTTCATTGACTCATAAAGCCTTCAAGATGTTTCAAAATAAACATAAAAATACAGTTGAAATTCTTATATGCGTTTCTTTTTTGGGACAGTATAGTTATAAATTCATGACAATTACATACATTTAAAAACCTGTCGACGAAGGACAGTAAAAGTCATCATTTAAATCAACAGACATGCTACGATTAAAAGCTTGGTAGAGTTAAATTTACTTTGAAAGTTTTTGGACTTTTACAATACTTTAACCCCCTTCGAGGATACATCCACCTACAATCTCGGTTGCTTCTTTAATAAACCGATTATAAAATACCATTGGTATATTTACAAAACATATAATCAAAACAATTCTATTTCTTTTAAAAACCATTTATTAAATGATAATGTACACAATAAAAAAGATATGACACTGAAATATTGTTAAGACATAATACACTTTTAAATCATGCAAGATTATGGCCTGATAAAAATGTTCATCATATTAGCAGCTTAATGATGAAACCCGTGTCTACATTCCAATTTTGGGCTAGTGAATTATTTTGTGGCCTTGTAACTTCCAGCCTAGCTTGTCCGACTGGCAAGCAAAATTTCAAAACTATTTTTCACACTGCCTCGATGGTGTTGTCATGGTTATCCTTTAATTTTACAGGTTACTTCAATAATGGTTATTTATAAGGGCATAAATGGTATGTTTAGCTTCAGATGAGAATGTCTGTTTATACTGCAAGCATTATTATGACTTTCATTGTTGAAAAAAAAGAATTAACCTAAACATATGGGTATTATTCAATAACATGTGCATATTAATCATTTAAAATATATACTCATAACGACTATGTTGCAGTTTCCATTTCAAAAAGGAAATTGTTTACTTTGTGTAAAACAGGTCAAAACCGTTAAATCATGTCAAGGCCATTCATATACTTTCTTGCGTATATTTGCAAGTCAAATGGAAAGAAAATTAACAATCCAAATGAAAATACAAACGTAGCTGAAATAGAGGTAGACTTCTTCACCGTAGTTAATCTAATAACATAAGGGTTTCAAAAATTGACTACCTAAAGACCTTTATCATAGTTTTAAATAAGTCCAGCTTAAAAAATCACGGAAGATGTATGAAGTAAAAATAAAAGATCGAAATCTAAAAAAAATTCAACACATAAAAGTAGTCATGCAACAACCGGTACTGCCATGTCGCTTGCCGAATTGAGGTGGAGTAAAAAAAACCCTTTCAACTAAATGGATTTGGGGCAAACACATCATAAAACGCGCATGTTCAATGACATGCCACATCAAGAGCGGACTTGCCCACAACTCAACAACAGAAAAGGTGAGTTGTCTGATGAAGTCATTGGGATACATCGGCGTCGGGGATCAGTTCTTGACAAATGGCTGGGGGATGTGAACAGACGATCCATGACATCCAAGAGGTATTCTGTGTGTTGGGGTTGGGGGTTGGGGTGTGTGCAGGCTCCGGCATCACATTGACATGTTGGGCTGCAAGGACGTTCTGCACATATGGGGCAGTATAGAGTTTGCCTAATCATGTTGCAGCTGTTGTAGAAATGGTAGGACAAATGGACGCAGAATGTCACCCGTGTAAGGCTGATCTGTTTCGTTAAAAATTACCAGAAGTGTTCTCCTTTGCCCACAAGGTCCACCAGTAGTACCACTTCCATCTTAACCATTACTTGCAACATAAGGCTGTTTGTCCTCCCATTAGATGGTAAGGACGTTGTCTTCCAACATCTCTCAACATAAAATAAAGACGACCTTCTGTCAGTCACGTCGTTGCCAACAGAACGGGACATCTAAATCTCTGAGGACGATGTTGTGTTGTCCAAACCGCCCTTTCTAATGTCTTTAATCTCTAATTCCTGAGCCCTGAGTCCCCTTGCCACTGCCTGTCGACTAACCATATGTCCCAAGTCATACTCGCTGATGACCACACTGTCAGAAATCGATTCAGGAGGTGCAAGGTACGCAAGTACCAGTGTTCACCGGAAGTGGTTCCCTGGGTCTGCTTGTTTTTGGCCTGACTGATGTCCACCTGGTCTGTCAGTAAAGTTACTTACAGCAACACGGGATTACCTAAAGGCTCTAGCAATAGGGCTTGCGAGACCGTGCCCATCTTACTTCCGGTACCAGATTTCCGGTGACAAGCCTATAGTCAAGAACCAGTTCTGATTCCAAACTGCGCGACCGCCAGATATGACTTTACTAGACCGGACCAAGTGCACAACCATGCTTGGCTGTCACAGTTGTTGTCAGTCGTAATAGTTGGTTAATGTGGGGATGGCAAGATCTGAAATTTGTTATTCGTGCAAGGATTATCAGTTCCTTACTGTCAAAAGACAACCAAGAGACCATTCGAAAACATATGAAACGTTTTTGTCACCGGAAGTAATAAGGTCTCGCGAAATGTCGTGACTTACCTACGGGCCCTATACATAACACCGGTATTTTACATGCTCACGTATTTTGCATCGAGTGAAAAACAACAACAAAAAAACATACACAACTTTGGATGCATTTGTTCCAAGCTTCGAAACAGGAATCTCAAACGTGTCATGGTATTATTTGAGGAGTAAATACACAATATTGCCGGAATATTCCTACGACTTTACTACATCGGACCATGAGGAAACAATTATGCTTGGCTGTGACAGCTGTTCACAGTCGTAATAGTTGGCTATTTGGGGATGGTTAGATCGGAAAATTGTTATTCCTGCAAAGATTATCGGTTCCTTACTGTCAACTGACGAACATGAGACTATTAAAAAAAGTTATGAAAGTTTCTCACCGGAAGTACTGAAGTCTTGCGAGGTGCCATGACCTACTTACGGGCCCTATGTAACCGTGCCTGGCTCCTATTTGTATCATACCCAT